TTAAAAACCACTATGAAGCACTGAAATTATTCTAAAAATGTAGAACACTAGCAGTGTTTTCATTTTAATGCTTTTTTTTAAATCAGCAAATTTTTATAATGTCAAAAGAAATTTATAAAGAAAATGCAAATCAGGCATGTTTCCATCAACTGGCTTAGAGCAAAATCAATCAGGATACACAAAGTAATTACATCAGAATTTGATGTTATGCATGGCTGTAGTAAACAGGAAGTAATGTCTCTTAACAAGGACTAGAAATAAGTTTTTGCACACACAAATGCTACAAAAAGATTTTTTTTATAAAAATGATTGCAAGAAAGAGGAATAGGCAAATATGTAAACAGTTTTGTAATATTTGTTAGTCTTACATCACACATCCTGATGACAGTTGATGGATCTTCAGCCAGATATGTAGCGTGGCAAACCAAGCAGAGCAGCAGCCCTTCTCCTTTCATTTGTGTCCTGCAAGAGATGAGACATTCAGTAAGATGAATATATTTTAACAAAAATAACAAATTATGCCTTGTTTTCTAGCCATCTTCAGTTCTGCTTACATCTTTTGCAAGGCAGTCCAAAGTGTCTTTCCAGATTTGGTTGCTGCTTTGTAGACCTCCAGCAGTCTCAGAACCAGGCCATCAAGTCCGTCAAGAAAAGGTTTCAGAAGGTCTTTGGTGACGATTCTTGTAAATTCAGCCCTAATCTGAGGTGATTAAAAAACTTGTCTCAATAGGACACAGTTAACTCAGTCTTAAATCACTAAATCTCTTGGTGGAACTAATTCAGTTGTGCGATTACCCGTCTCTCATGGAACAGAGCTGGCCATCGGGAGATGAGCTCTGTAATGTGTGGTTGATCTCCTACAATCTCTTTCCTACGCTGAGAAAATGTAGCAACCATCAAATCCTCAAGCAGCTGATGATTTGGGTCTTTCTTCTGCATTTCAGCCTCCATTATCTTATGCTTCACCTCCATGTTTTCAGGACTCTGTCCTTCAGGTGGATCAGGACACCTCCCCCTTCTTTGACTTTGACAGTTTCCCTTTTGAACTTACAGATTTTCGTTTGTTTATGACCACTTCAAGGCATCCTGCTGAACTTAAATTTTGCCTGTAGTTTCCCATTTTAAATTTCAGACTGTGAAACCATGAGTACCATCCCTTTTCTGATCCTGGGTCTTGCAGACAGGGATGCCTTTCCA